TGGAGGTGCCCGGGGAGCGCGGCGACGCGGCGGCGGGGGGGAGGGGGTAGGTCCCGAGTCCTCGCGCGGCCCCGCCCTCGGCCTGGCTTCAGTGGGAGCGCCCCGGCCGCCAGCCCACGGAGATGCGCTGGCCAAGCCGGCGCACGCAAGCGGCTCCACGGTCCCGGTGTCCGATTGGGCTGCGGGCGGCGGGCGGCGGCCTGGACGCTCGGCTTCCCATCCGCTTGGCTGGGGCTAGGCGAGCCGAGGTGAGGGCTGCCGCTCTTTCGGAGGGGCCCTCCCCCCGCGCCCAACCTCCGGCTGCAACTTTACTTTGCCGGGCCGGGCGCCGACATCCGTGGTCCTCCTGCCGCTCCCGAGTGCGGGCGCCCCCCGTGGTCCGCGTTCGACTGTGCGGGTGCCGCCTCGCCCTCCCCGCTAGCCGGTGCAGCGTCTCCGCCGCCGCCGCCGCTGCCGCCGCCGCCGCGGTGCACTTGGCGCGAGTGCCGCCGCCCGGGTTCGGCGGCTTCCAACTTGAGTCCAGTTGCGCAGCGGGGAGGGCGCAGCGGGGCGGGGCGGGGCGCCCCGCAGGCCCGAGCCGCCGGCCCGTGGGGGAGGGGGGCGGGGGGGAGCGGGCCCGGAGCCGGAGCCGGAGCCCGCGGCTGCCTGGGCTAACCTGCCGGCGGCGCCGGGGAGGAGCCCTAGGCGGCGGCGCAGGGCGCGCACTCGGCAAGGGCGCCCCCTCCAGGGCCAACGGCAGCCTGCGGGGCCGGGCTGAGCGCGGGCTGGCCTGAGTGGTGAGTTCTAGAAGCCTGCTCCTTCTAAGACCTTAGCCTCCACCTCGCTCGGTTACAAGCGGTGGGGCGCGCGGGCGCGCTCACCGGCGCGCAACAAGGGGCTGGATCGGGGTCCTCTGTCTGATTGGAGGGTGAGCTTATAGCAGCGTGCAGACAAGGCGGCCCCGCCTGTGCGCATCGTTCCGTGGAGCTTGGGGTCCCTGCTCCCCTGCAGAGCCACCTCCTCAGTCGGCCTCAGTTCCCTCCTCTGCGCACCTCCCAGCGCTGCGGGATCGTGAATCATAGCCATGGTGTCAGTGGAGGCTTGGATCAAGCTCCCAAGCTCTGTACTCATGTTGGCAATTGTTGGAGTTTAATCTTAATGCTGTGTGACCCTGCTTTTTACAGCTGGAGGGGACGCTCCGGATCAGCACCTTTGACAAAGTCCAAACTGACCTACCCCATGCTGGGCGATTTTTAGGGAGTGCCTTCAGGGGAGAGCGAGCAAATGTTGGGGAGACCCCATGTGTCTATTTCACAGAGGTTCTGACATCCTTGGCCTGAGCTGAGTGCTAGGCACTGGTCTCCGCCTCCAGACAGCCCCCAGGTCTACAGACACAGAGCTCTAGAGAGGAAGTGGCCAAGAGAATAAACTGGACAGACCTAACATTTCTGTGCTAGGACTGGAGGAGGACCATTCTCCCCATCAAGGCTGGCCAGGACCTCTCCCTACAAGGGTCAGATAGACTGGAAGGGGAGAGGAGTTGCCAACCCACTGGTAGAGGGCTTCTGGATGCCCATGACGTCCAAAGTCAGCATGAGGGCTTTGGAGCGATGACCTGTGGTGCCTGCTTCCCCTTGCAGTCCTTGAAGATAATGCAGCCTCCTTGGGACCCACAGGGCTACCCTCAGGGCAAGGATGCCAACTAGGATCAGGCAGAAGTCAAACATTTCAGAACATGGGCCTGTCCTGAGTACTTTGCCCTTGCAGGAAAGTGCCATCCTGGGCACTTTCTAACTCAGGGGTAGCAAAGTGTCCTGTGCTGTCATCTAAGAATGTGACCTGAGAGGAAGAGTGGTCATTAAAGTGTCCTTCTTATCCTGAGGCCCTAACAAGGGCCACTGAGCAGAAGACCTTCAGCTGGTTTGTGAAGCCTCCACACCACGACCCCATCATCAGCACACTTGAGTGAGAGGAGGCCTGTCTGGCTATTCACCCCACAGTGAGCCCCATCAAAGCTCTGGAGCTCCCCCCACCCCTACCCCAGGCTAGAAGGAAAGCTTCTGGGAGGAGGCCACAGTAAGTATCACCTTTGGAATATATGCAGGGGTTATTAGAAAAAGGCTTTGTGAGCCATGGGACTGAGGTAGTCCCTGGTGTGTGAATGCTCCCTAGGTCAGAGTGCTCCTTAGGAATGTGGGTGCTCCTTCAGATGGGATGCTTCCTAGGTGAGAATGCTCCCTGAAGTGTCCGGCTTAGTTCCCGAGGTGTGGGGAGCCAGAGGAAGGTGAGGAGATGTTCACACGGGTACTGGTCTGATACAAGTGTTGAGAGATGGCTTCTCTCCTTGCTGGCAGCCCTGTGGACCTTCCCGGGTCGGAAGTGCTCTCTTGTAAAAAGCAGAGGGGACAACAGGCAGTCTATTGCAAGCCCTGACCGCACACAGCCTTGTGCTTCCAAGTGATGGCTGCCTAGGTGCAAGACATACAAAGGCAAAGGAATTGCCCCGGGAGCACTGCAAGCGAAGCCTGGCAAGGGCGTCTGGAGGGCTTGCCAGTGAGTGACCTGGGGTGTGGGATGCTGACCACACCTCCAGGCATAACTGAGCGGGAGCCACTCTTGAGTCAGTAGTCAGAGGTGAGGATTGAGGAACCTGCTGCCAGTCCTTGAGTTGGGAGTCCTGGGCTGCATTTGGGGCAGGTGTTAAGGTCTCTGAGATGGCAGGAACTTGTAAAGAGGCTGGACAAGCCCCTTTGCCCAGAGATAGCCAATGAGGCCTGACAGTTTGCTTCTGCTTTTTCTGTGGCAGGCAAGCACTGTGTGCCCCCCAAGACTGTGTGTTCAAGAGCAAGCAGTTGGTGTCAGGCCCCACTGGTCTGTCTGTGCCCACTTTGTGGGGGTGTGCTAGAGAAGTCCTGGTTCATTTCAGAAGGAAAGGCATGTGAAGTAAAGCATCCTGGGTATTCAGAGACATACTGTTGAGTGATGCCTAGAAGCATGGGGTTGGTCCAGCCAGGGTCACATGGTGCCTGGATATTGGGTCCTGGGCCCTCAGTTTCATGCCAGGCTTCTGCCAAGTGATCTGGCTGCGTGCCCATGGATGAGCACGCCACAGAGTAGCCCTGACAGATGACAGCGGGAGCTGGTCTCCTGGGATTACCCTGGTGCACTCACAGGTACCAATGAGCACACACGTGCCTCCCTCCCCCACGGACTCACGCATGTGCATGTTCGTGGACACACATCCACATGAGTATGCTTCTTCAAGCGTACACACATGTACCCATCGCTTGATGACATGAATGTACACCTGTTTATGCATACACGTATGCAGCTGTTTATACGTACACCACTTGCATGAGCACATCCATACCTTCACACCATGCGCGTGCATCCATACCTTCTTACGTTTTACAGTGTACCTGTGTCCTGACCCAGGCACACACGGGTGTACAGGGATCTGCACCTGTAAGCATCCGATCAAAGGCGTGCATGCAGGCACATATGTGCCTGTACGCCCACGTGTGTATTCACACACACAATGCAAGCCATATTCGCATAGAGGCATGCATGTGTACAAATAGGTCCATGCACATACGTTGTGTGTTCAGTCAGTCACGACTCGGTTTGAAGAAAACAGAGTTATCAAATGTGAATTTAAACTCCTGCTCATGACTTTCTTTGCTGCTTGGCAGCTGAGGAACCTCCCTATTCCCAAGCCTCAGTTTCCCTGTCTGTATAATGAACACACTGCATTGCTGTTTCTAATAGCCGTGCTGGCTCTGTGACTCTCCCTCCCCGTGAGAGAATGACATGTCTGCCCCGCCCATCTTTGTCTTTGGCTGGTACCTGTAGGTGCTGAGGAGAGCCAGGCTCAGAGGGATACCCCATTTCACTTGCTCCAGCTGGTAACAGAGTCAGGGAAACAGAGCTGGGTTTCTTGTCTCCAGACGAAGAGGATGTGTTTTTCTTTGGAGTGGAGCTGAGGATTTTTTCCCTATGTTTATGTGCAATTTCATTTTTAAAGATGAGCAGGGAAAACCAAGGCTTGCTTCCCTCCCTGCCTCTCCCTAAAGAATTCCAAAGACCAATCTGTCTTGTCAGAATGTGGCAGGGATCTGGTAGCTGGGCCGGCTCCTGGCGCCCCAGCCTTCAGACTAAATCCATTGCATATTGATCATTGATTTGGCAAAGTCGAGTTCCAACAGAGCTGACAAAATCCTCTTGAGGGAGAAGCGCTCCTGGGCTAGCTGGGATTGGCACAAGGTATAATAGAAAACAGAGGGTCAGCATCTCTCACAGGGTACCCACTGTGTGCCAGTCACCTGGGGTTCGAGCTCCAGTCTGCCTCTGCATCCCCAGGTGCTGGCAGCCTCAATGCCTCTAGCCTGCCACTTTGCCAGCCTGTACCCCTAAAGTCTATATCAGAGTCCCAGCTGCTCCCATTGCTGCTGCAGTTGCCCGAGCCTGTTTGAGTGCCTCGGCTCCAAGTCCCCACACTGTTCAGTCCCTGATTGGGTCTGCAGACATGAACTAGCATTGTTTGTATGCA